CCACTCTGTGACTGGACTGTGAAAAGAAAAAAAAAAGAGAAGACTGATAAGTTTACCTTCCTGTCACTCTGCTCCTCCCCCCCCTTCCCTCTCACCAGCACGTTCCATGCACTGCAAGCTGACTGGCTCCTTGTGCTGCTTCTCCCTCCACCAGTCTGAGCTCTGCTGTACAATAGACAGCAAGAGGCTGGTACTGAATTAAAGGAGAATTATGGGGTGAGTAAATTACATTGATTAGGAAGTCAGCGGACATATACCGCTGTTCGCTAAGCTCCGGATCCTCTGCTTGCAGAGAGCAGTGACCTGCAGGGATTCCCCCCTCCCCTCTCCGTTTCTCCAGTGCTGACTAGAGGAATGGAGGGGAAAGGGGGCAGGCACAACTGGCTCTGCCTCTAGAGAGGCAGTGCCAGCTGCCAATCAGCCAGTGGGATCCGTCCCGACTGCAGCACAGCTCTGCACTCTCAACATATAGCGAGCAATAGCCTGCTATATACTGAGTTTTGTGTCACCGGACGACATTAGTTTGTGTCCTCCTGTTACCCTGAAGAGAACTATGGCCAAAACGGTTATTTAGTCACTTAAATACATTTAATGATGTGATGAGCTGCTTTAATTTGTGTATTTTATCCCTCCATAGAGTTCAGCATTTAATTGTATGTGAAGTCTAAACTTTTTTTTGTAGTTTTGGATAGAATGTTTAGGGATTAGAACCCGTCATGTTTTTTTTATTGTTGCCCGTGTCCCTGCTGAGGACATTCAACCGCACTGTTACAGAAAGTCATTCGAAATCCAAAATATTTGAGTTGTCACAAGAACAGAAAGTGAGGGTAAATCTTTCAATGGGTAAAGCTGCTCTGGTGACAGCTATTTAAGAGGCCATATCCCCCTTGTTTTTAGGGATTTCCTCTCACTTCCTGCTTTGTTTCTCAGGAAGTGAAGGAAAATAACCCATGGATGCATCACAGATAAAAAACAAAACAAAAAAGACAGATGAAAAACCCCCTTACTTCCATACTCTAATACTAGAAAATGTATTTTAAAAATTAAGCAAAATTATAATAAAAGGGTTCAAAATGCTCAATTAAGGTATCATTATGTCTCTTTAACATAGATGTTTGTTTTGTTGTTTTTACCTGATTATACATTACTTCTGCATGCAATAATTTGTGATGTGACAAGCTGTGTATTTGTTTCCCTTTATTGTTATATACAGAACCCACTAGAAGCCTTGGTAAGTTAATTAGTTGCAAAGTCTCCTGACATAGGTTAGGATCTTGCTAGAAACAGTATTGCTGTAACCTATTGCTAAAAAGTTGAAATGTTTTTAATTACACAAAACCGCAGGCAATAGATGGGCTCCTCATGGGTAAGGCACATGTTCACTTGAAGAAGAGCATCCCAAGGCACTAGAAACAAAGATGCCATAGTGAGGAGAGACACTGCCAAATGTATAGCTTATATCTTGTTCAATAATTCCAAAGAACAGGGGTAGCAAAAATATTGCCCCTCAGCTGTTGTGAAACTACAAATCCCAGTTTGGTTACCCCAGCCACAGAAGAAAGTTGTTTGTTTCAATTTCCTCCACTGGCACAACACTAGACTGCATAATATACAGAAATACCCATGTCAATTTGTGTATAGATAAATGCATATTTGTGAATTAGTAAATCTTTCATATAATGGTAATTAACCTTGTTAGGGAATATTAAATTGGTATTAATGTGGACCTGAAATATTGTTATTCACTTTTATTATTATTATTATATTATGTTACAGAGGGACGTTTAGACATGTTAATTGTGCTGAAGTAGTATCCTAAAAAATCTTTTTGTCTGCAATTCCTCTGAAAAATAGCAGTGTACTTGCTAGCATGTAAGTGTGCTTAGACACTCCTATGCCTACAACCTCGTAGTGCATCTGCAGTGCATATGAGATCTAAGACACTGCTGTCTCTGACTGCTAGTCTTTCCAGATTTTGGAGTGCGATTTGGTGAAGTCATTACTGTGCTGTTTACTGTTCTCCTTGCTGGGGGTCAGTTATGCCCTGCCTCTACCAAGATGGCCAACTACAATACAGAGAGACTGTGCAGAACACGGCATGTAATGGGGAAAGATCAGCTGCTGGGGGGATGAGAGGCAAAACTGGTGCATAGTCCTTTGCCCTCTTCTTGCCTTTTCTTGGCCACAGCTCCATAAAACAATGTACATTTTATGCAGTTGAGTAAGAGGAGATACTAGAATGAATGTGTACATAAATACAAAAGAGAAAGATTCACTCATGCACGAAGAAACCATAGTACACAAAAAAGGTTTATTCAGTGAAGTATTGCAAGGAGAAATGAAGATGTGCCAAGTGCAGTAACAAAAGGCAAACAATGAAAAAATGTCTCAAAAATGTATCAAATTATATAAAATAATTGAAATTGAGTTGGTTGATACAGGTCTTTGTAACTGGACTTATTGCATAACTCTTTTTATTATATGCTAAATCATAGTGCACTAGTGAGTAGTCTAACTATGTTCAATTTTCCCCAATCCAGAAACTATTTCAACACCCAATAATACTGGTATGTATGATAAGTGATGCTTTTCGCGTCTTTGCTTATGGTTGTTGATGGTATAAAGAGCTGTGATCCACTTTAAGTGGAAGTACTTGAAAAAAAGGAAACACTTT